TCACCTATGTTTCAGAAACCCTGATGAGAGAAAGAGAGCTCTCAGAGATGATCAGTTTGTACACTCTTCATGACAACTGGCTGCTAGGTCTGGGAGACGGTCTCTGTTCAGATCCTTACAGGCAGAAACAAATTCTTATCCCTGAGCTCTTTACTTGAGTTTTTAAAGTGATCAGATTGAGAACTGCTCGAAAGTGAAAAAGCCAGACTCAGAAGAAATATGAGTAATGAATTGAGAACAACCTCAAACCAGTCTAATCTGGAAGGAAAGGTATCCCTTTGTCCCTCTGTTCTGCTTGTCTCTCCCCTGGGTAAGAGAGGAACAGTATATCAAGATGCTCATCTCCATGTATTCCAACACTGCCTATAAAGCGGCAGCGTCTACATGGAGCTCTGTGCTCCTTCTCCTTCTACCTGTGTGCATGCAAATAAATTAATATATCCCTACTTTCATGACTCAGTTTCCTTCTGCATTAATATTTTCTCTCTGAGGCTTTTCTCTCTATTTCTTTTCACTGACTCCCTTATATGTTGAAGGTGGAGGAGGGAGGAACTGGACACTGGGCCTCTTGATATGTATGATGTATGTATGCAGACTGGATGTCTCAGTTTTTCACACTCCAAGTGTGTAGACTACACTTGCCATTCCAGATCTCACTTTACACACCTACAGATCTGTGGGGGGCATGAGTAAGGAGAAAAATGCAGGGGATGTTCACTGCTTGCTCCAGCTGCTTTACCCCCTCTCCTGTCAGTCTCCTATCCTGCTCCCACTCTGCTGAATCTAAAGTAGCTGGATTAGAAGTGGGTGGTCTTTGGCTCCACTTCTCCTGCTGTGGATGCTATGAGCCACTCATTTACACTTAGTATAGAACATCCAGTGCAAAAGCAATGTAGAAAGTACATACTGCTGCCTCTGCAGTACGCTGACCATTCCTCGTAGAGGGCAGTCCAGCAAGCCAGGTAGCTGGCTTTGGCCAATCAGATTTGACCCAGAGACTGAAAAATGAAAAGCACTGCCTTTACCAGTCTGTATGGTCAAGAACTGATAACTCGGTGCATGAGCCTAGCTATGGCTTGGGCTGTTTCTTACAAAACTGGTAGAGCAAAAACACACGGGGAGGACTTCAGCTGACAACCGGGATTATCATGGTGAGGGATTTTAGTACTCTCAGTAGTTAAAGGAAAGTGGTGACTGGGGGAATGTATAGGAGTGTACTAACAAAATGTAGAAGACCCGGGGTCCTCTGACAGAACAAGACTAAAGCAATGGGTCCAACCTGACTCAGAAAGGCAACCATGCCAGGCTTTAGATCCTAAGCATAGGATCACAGGATAATTGGGTTGGAAGGCACCTCCCGAGGTGCAAACTCCTGTTCAAAGCAGAGTCAGCTATGAGGTTAGACCAGGTTATCTATGGCTTTATCCAGTCTAGTCTTGAAAACCTCAAAGAATGGACATTGCACAACCTCTCTGGGAAACCCCTTACAATGCTTGACACTCCTCACTCAAAAAGTTTTTCCTGATACCCAGTGTGAGCATGTCTAGTTTCTCTTCTCCCACACTTCAAAAGTGCTATTGGTTTTTAATTTCTTGGAATATTTTCCCACCGTTTTACATTACTTCACAAAACATGTTTGCTGCAGGCTTCTGTGCAAACACATGAGAGAAATCAGAGACAACACTGAAAAAAAACCCAGAGAGCAATCTTGAGCTTAATAGGCTTGAGTTTTCTATTAATCTAAATCCATTCAGGGAATTAAAAGAAATCTTGCCACACTAGTCAGAATAGCCAATGTTAGGAGATGTCTAAGCTGTGGTTGAAGGTACACTTGCAATGCATTCATACATCTATGCAGGCCTGAAATCCTAAACCTGGCTAATTCAGTTACTGACACCAATCAAGCTGATCTTTGGCATTTAGTTGGTACCCAAATATTTACAAGTTCCTAGCTGGATTTTGCAACCTTAACTATGTAGCAATCTCAGTGAAAACCTCCTGTACATTGCCTGAAATTGAGTCCCAGCTATGATGAGAGTTGCTAGATAGCTCTTTAAGAACTATGATGGGGTACCACCAGTACAAAGACCTGACTTGTAGCTATTACCAGAGGCAGAAGTCAAGCTGCAATGCTCATTGTGTAACTGCTATCATGCCGTGTTACACAAGGCACATGTATAACATTGAGATGTGACTGGATATCAGCTTAGACTTTTAAGATCACTTTTTATCTTTTTCCATACCCCAGGAAATCATAATCTGATCATTACCATTGTGTGTGTCCTCTATAAAACTACAAGACGTTATATGACTCTGTTACGACCCTTTCAATTACTTTTCCCCAGGGAGAAATAACCAGAAAACTCATATTTGGGAAAGAAAATGTAAAGTTGTACATCACTAAACATGTGCAAACTATGACATCTAACTAGATCATAGTAAAACATCCCTGGGGGAGATGAAGAAATCATGTGGCTTGCTTAAAATTGGAATGGAAAAAGGCCTGGAGCAAGCTCAGGGCACAATCCTGCACAGGCCCTTGTGCGGTGAATAAACTAAATGTGACTGATTATGAGCTTTCTATCACTAATTAAAACCATCCAAGTTCTAAGTTCAAAATCTGTCACATGCAAATTCCAAGGTAAAGCTAACACAAGAGTACCACTTTTCTTTTACCTTTAGGACGTCTTTCTTTGCAGAAACTAATTCTGCAAAAATCTAGATACACTATACAGTGAGAATACAAAGCTCTAGTCATGCTAGGGTATTAGAGCCAACCATATTCTAGAGCTCAGACCTAGTCCTTTTCCCAAAACAGGTCTGAAGAATCCTTCCTATAACTTAGGAAGGCTGGAGTGAAAAACCTAGGCAGCCAAATAAGATTTGTTCTGAACAAAACCCCTTAGATGGAGGAGTCCAAATAAAACTCAAGGGTCCCATCTTCACTCAATCCAGCCTTTAAGACCGAGAACAGATGAAGCCCCTACTAAAGCAAAACAGCATAGAAGTTTTACACAAAACAGGCATTAGGCACTATCACTACATTCCTATCTGACTCCCATGGAGATTTTACAGTTGTGCAATCCCCCTTAGTGCACACCTTCATAACACCAGGTCAAGAACAATTCCTCAGTTAACTGTACAAATAGGTCCCTAATGTCCACTGTGCTATTACCATCTAGAATGAACATATATTGCATCAACCAAAAGTCGCTATCATATAGGGAGTCCAATATCTATACCATTAAGGTCTGTATTTAAGGACTGCAAGTGGCAGACAAATGATGCAATTATCATTATCCCATCATCATTTTAATGCATAGACACTATTCTATACTTTCATCTAGGCCCACATATCTGTATAACATTTATAAATATATATATAACTATATATAATCTCATATGAGAATGATACTTGCAATAGCTCAATTATACAAAAGGGGTTTTTTGTAACACAGATTTCAAGTCACAGACCATAAAAACACTGGCATGCATAGGAACAAATGTCTGTGTGGTTAGGTATGACAGCTTAACTACACTGGAGTGGAGAGTGGGTGCTACTAGATGCATGCTTTTTCTTTATTTCAAGAGTGTTGTGGTGTGGGAAGAGAGAACAAGAATTAACGTTGCTACTTCAGACACACATCAATAAAAGGCACATGGACAATTTGCCAGCTAATAGGATAATAATGTCCTCGGCAGTGTGGATGTGTGAGGGATATGGGCAACACAGGAGGTGGAAGCAATATATGTTTTGATATGCTAGAGAGAGAGAGATCCAGGTGAGCTTGAAGAATCTTAAGGGAAATAATGCAATGATCATTACCATGTGGACATTATAGAAGATGTCAGAGATTTCTTTAGGTCATGAGGACATTTGAGACCACTAAGAGACATAGGCTAGATGTGGGAATTAATTTCCAAAGTAGAAACTGGATTCTGTAGTTTAAGTTTGCTGCTGCAGGAGTAGATTCCCTGGAAGTGCTCACAAAGGACTTTCCCACTGAGACAAGTGTCACAGTACCAGGCTTTGAGACAGCCCCTTGGATTCATTCTGGGGATGTGCTGCAACTCTGTTGTGCTCAGAGGTCTCCTTTTTTCACAAATGTCCCCATGCCCATGTGCTTTGTGGACAGGCTTGGTAGAGAGACATGTACTACCAAATGAACTCCGGTCTGCTCTCAAGAGATTCTTTTGGCGTCTTGAATGATACATCTCCATATAACTGATGACTGTACCTGTGGTTTGCACAGAAAGAAATTTTCCTGCAGGGAAGAAAGTGTGCCCAGGATGCTGTTTTTACCTGTAGAGACCTGTGCTTAGAGATCAAGGGATCTCTTGGTATCTGCATGTGTGTAGGAGGGGAGAGCTGGGTTACACAGCCTAAAGGCTTGGGATCCTCTGCTGTAAAATGTGCGTGACCCACTAGAAGGATGCGATTCCTCCCCCTGTGTCCCCTCGCAATGGCTCTGCGAGAGGGAAGGGATTCACATTTGTTCGCTGTTCTCCATTGAAGTCTACGTAGGGGGAAGGGGGAGAGAAGACGTGCAGATCATGCAATGTTATGTATCCTCGGATAACAATAAACCGCTACCGAGCAAAGGAGGCAGCCGCCGTCCGCCTGATCCCGCTCCGGGAGGCACGGCACGGCACACCCCGCTCCCACCCCCTCCTCCGGAGGCGCCGCACTGACCCACATGTTCCACGACCTTCCGTCACGGGTGACACGGGCAGACGACCCCCCGGCCCCGGGCACGTCGTGCTGCTAGCGCCTAGGCCAGCGGCCGGGGCTCCGCGGAGCCCCCGCCACGCCACGGGAGACCGGGCAAAGGAGGAGGTGGGGAAGGGTCGCACGCAGCTAATGGTGCTGGATGGGCACCAGAAGGGGGGCTGCGAGGGGCGACCCGCCACCCGCCGTGCCAGGGGCTGTCGTGCCGGTCCCCGGGCGGGGTCCGCGGCTGCCCGAGCATCCTCTAGCGCCGTCCCCGCCAACGCCTTACCCACGGTGCGGGATCCGATGCAGCCCATCACTCCGGCGGGGCTCCGGGGAGAGGCGGCAGCCTCACCAGCGAGTAGGCGGAGAAGGTGGGGGGGCGGTGGAGGTCGGAAAGCAGCCGGTCCCTTCAGCAGGAGATGCCGGGATGGCCCAGCGGGGACCGGCGCGGGGTCATGGTCAGGTACGGGCGTGGGGTGCCCCCGCCGGGGCGAGGCGGGCGGGCGGAGTGCCCGCGGGCCAGGCTGTCATCTGCCCCCGCCGCGCCTCCGCGCTTTGTTCCGCGCCCCGCGCGGCTCCCCGACCGCGGCCGCGTCGTCGCCGGTGCCACTGCCGAGCCCCCGCCGCCCGCCCGCCCCCCGCTCCCAGCTCCGCGCTCCCGGCTCCCCGACGGGGGGCGGGCTGAGATTGGGTAAACAGCTCCGGCCCGGCAGCGCCGCGCCGATTGGCTGCCGCCCTCCGCGGCCCGGGGAGGGGAGGCAGCGCCGGCCGGGCCGCCCCTCCTGCCCGCGGGGGGCACGGGGCGCGCCGGCGGCGGGGCGAGGCGAGAGACCCCCGGCGGGCGGGCGAGTGGGCAGGACGGGACAGGACAGGTGCGGGCGGCGCGGGATGGGGATGGAACGTGGGGGTGGTGGTTTGCAGCGGCGCGGGGCCCCTCCCACTGGCCAGGGGAGAGGAGCGGGGAGGGGCGGGCACAGGTGAGCGGCGGGTGGTGCCGCAGGCCGGGAGCCAGGGGGGAGAGTAGAGCAGGCGGGGAACAGGCGGGTAGGGGGCTCGTCTCCGTCCCAGTGAGAAGCAGCAGCAGCAGCAGCAGCGAGGGGCACGGGGGAATAGATGGAGGGATAGAGGGAGAGATGGAAGAACTGATGGAGGTATGGATGGAGGCAGGCGGCGGCGGGCGCGGTTTTCCCGGTAACTACACTTGCGGACCCGACTCAGTTACCGGCAGCCCCCCAGCGGCCGTGCCGCGCCTCCCCCGGGGCGCGCCCGGCGCGCTCCCGCCTGGCTCAGCCGGCCCGGCGCGGTCCCGGTGCGGTCCCGGTGCGGTCCCCGGGAGCGGCCCCGCCGCAGCCCTGCCTGCGGGGACTGCGGGAGCCGCCGAGGGGCGGGCGGCCTGCGGAGCGGCCCCAGCAGCGAGCTCGGGCAGGAGGACGGTGTTCCCCGCCCGTTCTGCCCCTGGCCGTGCTGCGGGGCTCGGGGCCGCGGGGCGCAGACGTGCGGCGCCGCCGGGCATCTCTCTGCCCGTGGCCCCGCAGGTCGGTGAAGGAAGCTCATCCCTGAGGATGATTGCTGAGGCCTTTTCCACGTCCTCCCCGCTAACATGGCAGTGAGGAGGGATCTCTGCAGATGGAGAAGGTGTGGTTAGGTCAACTCCCTTCACAGCCCAAATTCTTCCTCAGCTGATGGCACGAGCAACAGGCAGTGTCATCCTTGCCCACTTCCCCTCCACCACAGTCTCCCCTCAGTCTGCCCATTCCACCTCCACTCTCTGAAATGCTCAGGATTTCTCCCTGGTCCTTTGTGCATTCTTCACCCCCAAAAGCCTCTCTGATCTCGTCAGCATCCTTCCATTCATCTCTAGTTAATGGCAAATTGAATTTCGTTGATCCCAAATGAGCTATTTTGATCTTATCCTTGGGCCTGGAAAATTCAGGTTTTGTCAGCATTGCTGAGAAGTCACTCAAGACAGCTGAACAGCCCTCATTAATAGCAGTACCAGGGAATATGTAAGTTCATTCATTCCCATGCACAACTTACAGTCAGCCTAAGGAAGGAAAAAAAAATAAAGAAAAGAAAAGGACTTCAGGCATATCATATTTTGCCTGACCCTCTGAAACAATAAGCAGGAAGTCTACTCATACAAACTAAAATTTATATAGGAAGGAAATATATACAGGCAGGGGAAAAAAAGCACTGTCTGAATATATGCAGCTGTTGTATCTTTTCCCTTTATGGTATCGAAGATAGTACTATGTATGATGAACATGACACTGCTGAAGTGTAAGAAATCATAGTCTTCTCCTCTCTGGGTGCCCGAGGCCAGTCTGCTCTGGTGCTATGATGCTTATCACTGGGTACAACACATTAGATCTCTGCTGAGGGTAAAGTTTTTCCTGAAGTAAAATTCTTTCCCTTTTTCACTCCTCCTTCCACCTCCCCCATGTATTTCCAAACCTATCAGTTTTCATCTAGTCTTTTTGAATGACTCACTGAAGATACTTTTCTCAACGTATCTGCACTCTTGAAACCCAGGTTGTAAAAATACCAGGGAACCATAGGTCTGGCAGAGCTTCATGTTAACCAGAGGTGTTTCACCATCTCTAAAAAGCAGATTTATATTGACTTGGAAGGCTAAATGCAAGGAAAGGGGAAACGAAAGCAAATTGCAATGGGAAGAGTGGTATATTAAGACCCAAATCCTGTTTCAGATTAATGTTTTTTGCTGCCCGGCCATTTGTTGTATCTGCAGTCTCCTGTGGACAGATCGATCAGGACAGCTGTCCTTAGGAGTTTCACCAAACTCCACCAAACAGCATTTGCATCTCATCCTGGCCTGAGAAGACGTATTACCGACACAGCTGTGAGGAATCCCTTTTCCTCTGTTCAGAGAGAGTCTGGTTTCATCTTAATCCCCTTCTCTCTCTCACCCACCCACCCAATCTAAATCTGTTCCTCAGTGAAGCTGCTTTTTGCACTGTGAGTGATCTCTGCTGAAATGAAGATTTCAGGTAAGTCACATTGATTCTTCTTAATTCCCCCTGCATGATGCTTTAGCTTATCTATCACTTTATCTCAAGATTAAAGTCACACCCCAGGTCCTAGCAAGTGCACATTTGGCTTTCCTTTCATTAAGCTACAATATCATTTATATCTGCTCTGACTTCTGCCTCAGGGTATGATTCTGCAGGCAGGTGGGCAAGTCCTAGCACTTACCCTGCCTGCAAAACTTCTTTCCAGTTCTTGATGGATTTGACTTCTGATGCTTTAGTGAGCTGATAGTTTACATGGGGATCTGGCAAGCACCCATGCTGCTGCAAAGTAAGTGTCAGACATGTACAGCAGAAAAAAGGAACTGGAGAGAAGGAGGATTATACCAAGTGTCCATTCATTCACTCCACAGAACTATTGGCCTGTCTTGTGGCTGCCTCACATGTCCTGATGCCACAAGCTCCCTCCTTTTTTTAATTTGGAATCAATATCACTTAGCTGCTGGAAGCAATACCTATCTTGGCACCTACAGCCATGCTTTGTCTGCCATTTTTAATATAGTCAATTTAATAAAAGGATAGACTCTTCACCATCCTTTGGTTCTTAGTCACACCTTTATTTATTATGGACCATGTTTACATGAATCTCCATATTTAAAGCAAATTTCATTCTCATTAGAATTTGAGAAGACTTTGCTAGACTATCATCTCTCAGCTTTCACCCAGTTGCTTGGCTCTTCTGTACAGTAGGTTCTATGCAATAGGGAGCTCATCATCAGTGAATAGTTTCTAGGTTTTAACAAGCCAATAACTAACTTTCTAAAATCAGTTAAAATATGTTTAGCATACAGTAGCATAAGAAAAGTATCTATTTTACATTCTGAATCAGTACATGGTTTCATGAGAATTATCACCTAGGAAGGAAGTGACAGGATTACATCTCTGAACAAGGGACTGAAACAGAGCATAAGTCTAACTGTCCCCCACAGTTTGTCCTTGCTTTTCCTTAGCAACAGTATTCCCACTGGCGCTGCAAGGAACTGGAGGTAAATGACAGAAAATAAATGGTTTTGTTTTCTTTGAAATACACTTTGACAGGCACTAAGTATTTTCTCTAAGCATTGTGGGTACTCTCCTGAACAATGAGGCTATAATTTCATGTAGGAAATTGTGTACAAAATACCTTTGATAAGTGCTGATTTAAATGCTGGTCTGAAAGATCTTTGAAAATAAACATTTTCATACAGGGTTGGGAGAGAGATATATTTAAATGTCTAGAGAGACACTTGATCCTTAACATAGCTGGGTATCTCAAAGGAAGGAGCAGTAGAAAACAGCCACTTGCAACCTCCTAAATTGTTTGTATGATGGATGAAATTATGTGCCTCTCTGTTTATTGTAGAGCTGTAGACCTCCCTTTCCACAGCCCCTGTTGTGAGAGGCATGCTGGGCAAAAGAGAAGGAAGGTTTGACCTCTTGTGGGGCTGTGGGTCACTGCCTTTAGGAACTTCTGTTTGCAGAGCAGAGCTTCAGTGCTGCCCAAACTAGGTCAAGGATGCTGGTGGAGGAAGTGCAACATAAAGCTCCCTTGACCTTTTTCTCCCTCCATTCCTGCACCTTTGTCCTGAATGCAAGAGAGAAAATGAGATGCCATAATCAACTCAATAAGCATGTCCTCCTAGGCAAGGGCCACCTGTTTCTGGAGTTGTATGCCAAGGTGAGTTGGGAACAGACAAGCATCCATGCCTCCAATGGTCTCTTCCCGCCCCCTGGCATTCAGACCAAGTGGTCACTGTAAGTCTGAGCAGGAATGAGTGAGGAGAAAAACGTAATTCCAGGAAAGCAAAAGATAGTGACCTTGTGCCTGATAGAGGGGCTGGTAACAGCAGAGAGTAAAGCAGTTTTAGATTAAGTATGGTTTTCAACAACTTCTTCTAAATCCACTCTGAGGCCTCTGTCATAAACCTGGAGACTGGCTTATGCTGTAAATTGTTAACTTCTTGTTTGTGTTTTAAGAGACAGCTGTTCAGCAGTGTTTATCTTTTCTATAAGCCATTGATGAATACATTAAACCTATTTTACCAAGTGTTCCCTATATCTCTATATAAATATAAAGATCTTATAAATTATAAATACCGGAACAGCATCTTCCTAAGAAACACTGCTTATAAAATACAGAGCTATTGTCACTGTCATACCTGCTGAGTAAATTTATTCTTTTCATCAATTAATTATCAGGGATGCAGATTATATCACAGTAGGTAATGTGCCCCTGTCATCTCCCTTAGCTACCACTTAAACAAGTTAAAATGAAAAAAATACCAATATAAATCTTGCCAACTAATGCTCCACTTCCAAGTAAACATCACCAACCACGAAATATGTCTTCCTTCTGTCTACTCCTGTCCCCAGAGGTGTCATTGGGAACCATGTCTATCTTCCCATGAAAAGGCTCTGAAAAATGAATGTTCGTCGCCTTCTGCTTCTCTGATGCTTTTTAAAATCCTTATGTAAT